ACCACTTGTCTGATGTTAAGCTTCAATTCCTTGAGCCTCATTCACGCCAGCGTGCGAGAACTCAGACAGCGGGCGCACAATGCCAAGCCTGTGGATTTTCCGAGGTCAGAGGTTTTGATTAGATGCCGACACGACCGGAAAACCTGAGACGCTACGGCGGAATATACGGTGTTCGTGCTGTTCTCGCCTTGTGCTGTGTGCGAGGCTGCAGGGGAGCTCACGGTACCGGCATGCCTGGTTCGTGTTGAAACGTAGCGTCGGGTGGTGCGTTCTATGGCGCTCTCGATGGCGTGACGCGTCGCGTAATCGCTGGTGTGTTCTGTGGTGTGAGTGATATGCGATGACATTCCAGAAAAGGTCTGAAGGCTTCTGACGTGACTATTGTCTGGAACCCTTTAAAACCTGCAGATATACGGATAGAGAGCCAACTTGACTGGGCGTCTGACGGAGCTCTGCTCCCCGGCTTGTTGCTGTGTCAGTTTGCTTGGTGATGTATTGTACGCAGTTACTTTCTTCTATGACATCTCTCTTGTATGCTTCTCTTTCCATCAGGTCCGATGCAGGCTGAGCACACCCTGCTGATGGAGGCGGTCTGAATCAAGATAGTAACACTGTGTATCTGTGGAGCCAATATATTAACATGAGCGTCGCCTAGGATTGGGTTGACTTGGTGCTGACTAAGCTGAAAGAGATTGGAATGAACGCGGAAGCAGAATTCCACAAATCATTTTCTCTACGTTCAAACTGAGCGGCGGATTTCGGAGTGAAGTGTGAGATTACATGGGCGCTAAGAACACAGATATACCGAAGAAACTGGGATTGTAGTTCTCCGGATTGTAGTTCGATCACTATGAGCTCTGTTCGTAACGTACATAGATACCGTGACACCTTCCCTCAAATGGTGCTTTGCAAACCATCACAAAACACTGCGGTTTGCAGTTCTTATTGGCAAAGCTAGCCTCCAAAGGCAAATTGTAATCGGTGCAGCCCGCCTCCGATTTGTACCTAAAAGATATGACAACAGCTCATATCCTTACACTAAATCGTTAATGGGAAATCTGAAATTCATAGTGGCAAGCCATGCAAGAGGACAAATTTCCCTGCTTTGCAACAGACGCTTTAGCTTAATGGGACAAAGCCCTCTTCGCGAACATTCACTCACTTCTTAATACATTGGCAACGCTTTCACTGAACACAGCTGCTGCAGAACACAGCTTCTCGACACTCAAAAGAGTGAAAACGTATTTGAGGAAGCGGGCGGCTGAGGAGCACCTTGATGGTGTGGCCTTAATGTCCATTCACCGGATACAAGTCAGTGTCGACTAAGTTATCGCTGTGTTCATGGAGACACCGCAGCTCATGAAAATTGCAGCGTGAACCACTCTCTTCGGCCAGGCTGTCTGTTTTTTTTTTCAATTGACCTTTACTATATGGGAAAACCATTGGCAACGCCATTCCTTAAACTTGATAGCTAAAATTAATGGTAATGTTCTGCATCTTTTGTGTCAGAGAATAATCCGTGTTTATTTTTTGTTGTCCAATAAAATTGTTTTTCCGAGTGTGTGTGTTCTTTGTTTCAAAATTTCGCCCTTTCGCCCATAAAATAGCTACCATTCTTCTCGCAGGCCTGTCGTTAATACAGGGGGGGGGGGGGCAGACGTTGAGAAGAGAAATCTTCTAATATATATATATATATATATATATATATATATATATATATATATATATTGCCGTACATGCTTAAGTGGGTGACTGCTTCTCTTGCAATGCGCCCCCTCCCCGAAAAATCTTGGCTACGTGCCTGCCCTGATGACCACTACTTACGATGTGCGCATAATCGCACCGTGGCGTGCACATTGCTTCGACAAAACTGACGTATGTACGCAGCTCGAACTTGAGTACCGTCATTACCTCGCTCAATAAGCTACCATTAGGTGCAAGTGTATTCGATGTACCGAGTAACAGCACTCTTTTCACAATACAGAAATTATCTGAATCCATTGAACCTTCTCACAACGGTTGGTTCAAAGTGAAAAATAGTGTATTATAACCACTTCGCCAACTGCTTTGAATGAAATTGACTCCTACAATATGTGACGTCTAAAACAATTGTATAACTCTGTTTTATTTTTTTTCTGCCTGCCTCAGTGTAATCATGCTCCACAGCACTCTTACCTGATTAATGTCACAGTTTATTCCCACAGTCTCTTGATATTTCGAAGGTTTTCTACTTCAGCCCGAGAGAGTTAGGTCGTAGTTAATGAACTACTGAAGCTACTAGTGTTAGATTATCTTTGAAATGTTCCTGCAGATGCCTTATTGATATCTTCCTAATTAGATTCGAACTTCCCTTGTTAATTCATTATTATTGGTCAGCCTTGCAGAGGGCCGTTACAGAGTGGAAGGTGCAAGTGGTTTTTAGGTAAAATGTGCTACAAAATTGCAGGGTTGTTAAAAAGAGAGATACAAAAGGAAATGACGAAAACATAATAGAATGTACAAACAAAGCGCAGAGTAAAACGTATCGTGTAAAAAAAAAGGGCAAACGTAGAGGCAGCACCGTGCGATGGTTGAAATCAGATGTGCAGGATAAAGGATGTACGTTGCCTCAACGTTGTACATGGAAATGCCATTTTACACTGTCTAAATGACGTTATCAAAGAACATATGACTGTTGATTCAGGTAACATCTTCCATTCATCGATAGCGTGCCGGAGTAACTGAACCTAGAGCAGTCATTACGAACACTAGGGGCGCTATGTGCATACAAAGAAAATGTTAAAAGAAACATTTTTAGAAACTAATGCACATTGCTAATACGCTTCTTTTTTTTTATGATTATTTTCTCATTCTTGCGATCTTCAAACAAGACTTTTAGAGTTGTGTTAACGCTCGTTTGTGTTCTCTCTATCTTCCGTTTTCATCGTTTTCATGCTGTAATATGAAATGGATTCATACCAACCATCCCAACATTCATTACTAACGCCTCACTTCGACGCCTAATGAGCAGCTCCACCTCAGATCACTGGAACAAATCAGAATACCGGCACATGCGGCTGCACAAACATGACCCAGTAATGAAGTTCTGTGTGCCTGACAAGCTAAAGTGAATCATCGCATACAGTATTTCTTGCATTCGTCTTGATGTGGCCACATCGAGCTTGGGCACAGAGCTCAATTGGAGAGTATTGCTGACGATATTTGTTAACTATAAATCTAGTACCAAGTCGTCATACCCTCTCTATTTTTTTTGTATTTCCACTGTGCAGAAGGGTCCCATACAATTTTGAAATATGAGACAAATAGCCTAACTGATGTCTTGTATGCTCGGCACTTCATAACAGAGGCACCCTGGTAAGGGTCAGGCCTGAGACTCTGCAGTGCCTTAGTAGCCTTCGAGCAAACATAGTCTTTATGCGAATCCCTTCGCAGATAAGACGTAAACAATATTTCGAGATATTAGTACTTCTCTACACGCTTGAGCTTAACGTCGTTAATACGGTAGTCATAATTAAGTGCTTTTTTTTCTTTTTACTTATAGATATAAGAACTGTTTTTTCTGGGTTTATTTTACTTGCCAGTGTTAACATCAATTCGAATTTTTTAAGGTTGAAGTTTGAATTATGGTATACTGTTGAGTCTCTCTTGGGCTATAAACCACACAATCTTCGCGAAACAACCTAATCAGGACACCTACATCGTTTGGTTGACGGTTTATGAACAAATAAATATAAAAGAATGGTCAAGTAAACTCAGCTGCGGAACACTAGAGTATATGGCGAACAAACTTAACTAATTATATTTTATTTGAACACACTACTGAGTAGAAGTAAGACAAGACTCTAACCGTGCCGTGAGGAAATTACCAAAGTTATTAAAATTATCTAATAAAACATCGCTGATTGAACTATTACTCTCAGCTACTTCCTTGCAATGCAAACACCTACTACACGCTAATCGTAGCCTGCCGAATATTTGTTTAAAATATTGATATCGATAGCTGCGAAACCCTGTACAATACTCGCAAACTTAAACACGACATTGTTCAGGTGGACGTGTTTTAATATGATCAATGCTATGACCAATGATAGTGAAAACTGCGTCATGTCACTGCAAATCTGTCCTATAGAAGTAGTGTTGGCGCTCATGATTGAGTTTGAGTGACAATTACGCCGACATGACGTGAAGTCTGAACACTGAAAACAAAAGTACGCCAACATTCAGCCAAAAATATTCCTGTTTCAATCCATGAGTATTTCACCCATGTGTCCACTTTCAGCCAATGCGGTGGGCTTTTAGTTGACTCATCTCGTACCTAACTTACATTCTTGAAGTTCATACAGAGTATCAAATTTATGAACTAGCCAAAATTGAGGGGCATTTCGCATAGTAGGAGGTAAACTACCTAAACATGTTTTGAGAGTTGAGCATCTTCGATCAACGCTCTGCCAGCTACACGGAATATTTACAGCCCGCATTACCAGTAGTCACCTGAAATGCACTATAAATATAGCCTTCAACAACCGCAATTTAAAAATTTTCAGACAATTACTACAATCAAAAAAATGAACCTATGCATCAGTTTTAACATATATCGACGAATTTACGCCATCGGTAACCAGCACATCTCATCATTCAGTTCCAAGATAGAACCAGCTGCATGTGCTGAAGCATCAGCATAAAACTAAGCTATGGAGACTACTCACAAAGGTGTCCGGTCTGCTTGCTTCCAAATGACAAAGAAAACTAATGAAGTAAAACGGACGCTTCAGGGCTTTCAGCTACAAGAAATATAGACAACGCTTTTCACAGCAACATTTTATTGATTCCTTGTATGGTATAACTGCTGAACATTGAAAAACGAGGAAAGGTAAGGATTCTACAATATGTGTCAGATGAAAACGAACCCTTAATAATAGCATATTCACTGATGTGCAAGCACATAATGCGGCTAAATGATATTATTACGATGAACTGCTGTTGAACAAATTGTGTCCTCATTAGCGGTGGAGGCCTACGCCCGGGAGACCAACTCCTGCCGCCTTTCCGTATGACGACTGTCCGAATCCAGCCTGATGACCATCGGCACCTCCCTGAAAACCCGAGGAACTCTGGTGGTGGCCTGTGCCGAAGCTCTTGCTGTCACTGGCAGAGAAGCCCGAGTTGTGGTTGTAACCCTGATTGTTGCTGTAGGCGTTCACGTTCCTGTTGGAAGAACCTCTTGTGAAGCCACTTGACCCTTGGTTGTGTCCGGTGGCGCCCTTCTGAAAGCCTGCCTGGTGTCCTGCGGCAGCAGAACCATAACCCGACTGGAAGCCGCTGCCAACTCCATGGCCCAGGCCAAGACCATGTCCAAGCCCACCTCCGACATGGCCCGCATCGCCCACCACTCCACCACTGACAAGACCAGGTCCTCCAAGTCCAGCGCCCACGAGACCAGGACCGACTCCTGCGCCATAACCACCAAGGCCTCCCAGGACGCCACCACGTCCCTCCACGTCTTTATCTTCCTTCTTCCTGTCCTCCTGGGCGGCCTCCTCGGTGAAGGCCGGGTGAATCACGAGAGTGAGCACAGCGCTTGTAATGAAGAACTGTATTTCGACGAAGAAAAACAAAGCAGTTTTTGTATAAACATGCGATGATAGAATGATAGGGTGTGCTGCATTATCACTGCAAGAACACTAAGTTCACCTCTCCTCATAAGGGCGCCCTAGGCCTATGTTGTAAATCACCGATATCTCTCGCTGCATTGTGCGCTTTTGCTGTACAGACAATGAGACGAAGTTTCCTGCGACAGATAAGAGCGACCTGTGGCCAAGTTGTAGAACATCAAAATTTTTCGCTTTTTGCACGTTCAGGGTTTCCTTTTTTCTTAGCATCTGTTATCATTTGAAGAAAAACACCGCAATTTTTACATTTTGATGGTAAGTCAATGCCACGCTTTTCTGATAATAATAAGAGCCCTATGCAGGACACTGCCCCAATAACGGGGTGCAACTATGCTGTTGGCGAATCAGGACCAATTGTTAAGGCATTTAATTTTGAGTAATTATGAGCTTGATGATGTCTAATATACGAAAATATGTGTATACCACGTTAACGTCAGAGGGGAGAATCAGCTGCCCCATGTCACGAAAAAGTGACATAACTTGGTATTGGAACGTACTTACTAAGTTACTGCTGTATTGTATTTTTAATGTAGTCTGATGATAGAAAAGAACAAATTATCTAGAGACGAAGCCTGTAATTTTGTTCAACATCACCGAAGACACAAGATGGCACATTTCAATTGTTTTTCTGAGATACTCTGAAAAACTTGTGCTTTTGAAGAGTGAATGTAATCAAATTAACCATAAAAGTCAAACAAAAAGCACAAAAAGTAGTCAGACATTCATGAGTCATGAAATGAGACCTAATCCAACCATCATCAACTATACAGATTGCGAAATTCGCTAAAAAGGAGGTTTAGAAACTACTTTGCTCGCTTGTACGGCATTATAGAATAACAAACACAATGAGCGAATGTACTATCATTTTGCAAAATATGTCATCCACAAACCATGAGTATTACAAAAGATCCAGTAATACAATGAAAACTTTGTTTTTCTTCTCTGTCTTTATATCAAGACGTCTTTGAGAAGCCTGAGAAAGTAAAGTTATAACCTCACTAAAAACGAGATGCATGTTTAAACAAAGGACTCGAAGACGAGCACTTCAAAATAGACATGCGATTTAAGTAAGAAATACACCTGAACGCCTTGCTTTCTGATGACTCTTTGATGTTAGGCACATTTAGGCTCAGGAAAAAAAATTGGTAGTTGCCACATGCAGTAGCAAACAATGATATGCGAAGTACATGTGAGGATTGTCACAACAAAGTGAGCACAACGTTACGAAGTGGAGAAAAATTGTGTCGTGTACGACTTCTATGACATGATTATCATGTTTGCGTCTGACAGTTGTGCTCGTCGTTCATTCAAGTCACGCAGTACTAAATTAAAGGCCGAATGCATGGTTACCTTTATTTTGTCACAGGAGATGCAGTGAGACCAGGACAAGACTTTTCTGTATCGAACTCGAGTACCAGCTCGTTGGTGGCAACTGATTTGCTTTGCCACTACGCTTGATCCTTTTTATACCCATTCAGTGAGAATAGGCGGGGTTAAAAAAAAGTTGGATGCTGTACAACGACAGGCCACCACGTGTTTCAATAGTCAATGGCCACAAACACGACCACGAAAGAAGGCCTGCCGTCTTACTAGCACTGTGTTACACTCCGTTGGACTAGAAACTTTCACCGTTTTCTTTCGTTCGCAGAAGTGCAACCACACATCTCGCTCTCGTCTTCCGTCGCGGCTTTTCTTCGATCATGCATGCCTTGCACAGTTCATAACGGCACAATCGTCCTTGAAGTCTGGAGAGTCTAGTGGTGCCGCGTCAGACAATGCCTTGGGTTATAATGATGCCTAATGCACAATTCTCGCCATGAAATTTTCAGGGACTTGCAATCAATGTCGCAGCATACTGTCTTGGGACAATGGTAACTGCCTGTTCGAATATTTCCACTTGCAGTTATCATTTCAGAAGCAACTGCACAAGCTGTCCGAGTTCAATGCCACATGGCTTGTATACTTCGAAATGCTTCAGCATAAATGATCGCCCGTAAGCTCTAAGCTTACAGTGGTCTTTTCTGGGCAACGTGTTTAATTAAACACCAAACAGAAAAGCATGCAATAACATTACTATACTACGACATTCGTGCACGCGAATGAGGCCTAACCAATGATTTTTGACTGTACGTCAGATGTTTTATACACGTGTTTAATTCGGTTTAGCTTTTAACATGCATTTGCGGAATTGTGTTTTTTATCAGAAAGTTCGATCAAACATTTGTCTACATCATGCGGGCTTGCTTTCTGCAATGCATGCAAATATTATTTATATGAAATTTTTGAAGTAACATTCGCTATAGGGCGCTGAGTTCCTCAGTAATTAACAGACACTCTGTTTTCTAGTTTCTTTTCCGGGAAAGGGTATCAGTTCTGTGTGACTTATTTGTTTGTTCTTTTGCTTATGTTCTGCATCATGTACTTACAGTATTGGAAGCTTGTAAGCATGCCTAAGAACGTGTCTTAGGGAGACTTTGTGGGCGCTGTTTGTGAAAAGTTGACAATAAAATCGCCCTTAAAAGTAATATATTCGTCACTAATTTTCAAATTATCATGGTGCCGGAACGCCGGAACTTGCTAGGAATGCTGGTAACAGCCCATGTCAAATTGTTCGACGCAGACTTAGTGGGTGGTCGTCAATAAGAAGTGAACTTCGAAGCAAAGCCTGTACTGACAGACATGTTAAAGTGGTGTTCGTAAGCATTCATCGCAATCTCCCAAAGAGAACCTAAAGATATGCGAAGTAGCAGAATTGTCGAAGCTTGCGTTTGGCTCTGCTGTCTTGCGCCTCGTCGGTGTTGCAGGCGCGACTTTACCATTCGCGAACGCGATCATCTTCGCTAACCCTCGCAACGCCGGCGATGGCTGGATAAGGCCTATTTGTTTCGGCAGATGTTTCATTGGGTGAAGTAGCGTCGTCTTCCGGTGTCCTCTCCATTGCAGATCAATTACCTGAAAGAGTGTTGTCACTCGACGTGCGCTCGAGCCTTGCTAAGGGGTAGAGAGGATGAAGCGAGAGAGAGGTGACACATGCAGACATGCTTCAATGCGTACGTGAGGTGTGTCAGGTTTATTGCGCTTCAAACGACGAGTCGGCGGTGTAGCGTGCGGCGGTCGTGTTAGTGGAGCGAGTGGTGGTAGTGGCAAATCTTGCGGGCGAACAGACGATGCGACAGGTGCGGGTGCTACGGTGAGCGCGGGGCAGCTTAGGGAGAAAGTGGCGCCAGCGTGTACTGCGAGGGGAGCGTGGCGTTAATGCGCAGCTGCGGCGTGACCTACTTGGTACCACTCGAACACCTACGGACGAGGGCTTCCTTATTGCGACTAGCAGCGCTCCGTGCTTCACAGAGTTTAGCAAGTGCTTAGTCGTGAAAGTGAGCACATTCACTGTTTGGTTAACAATATAGGTAAAGTTTTATTTCGAGCATTTGATTGATTGGTGATGCGTACTAATCTAGTAATAGAAAAAACGCAGAAAAAGGCAATCGGAAAAAACACTGGTGGATGTCATAGTCCTATGCCTAAACAATTGCACACAATGGTGCTTCGTTAGAACCATATTTTGTTAACTACACGAAATTTTTAGATTTTCATGATACATCAGAATGTAGTGGCATTGCTTTTACTAGTCAAATTGAAAACTCTCGCCCACGTAGGTTTCTGACTGATCTTTATTATTAACTCATAAGGTGCGAAGATGAGGCTAAGTAACAACAACAATTACAATGGTACTCCAGATTAAATATGCACAATATCTTTCTGTTATAGAGCACCCAATTTATAAAAAAAACAGCTGCTAAAACACCGTAACTGATGTTTTCAATTGTGTAAAGTGGCAGTCACAAATTTTTTGATTAAAGGGGCCCCGCAACACTCCAGATCATTATCCAATGGCTCCATTCAAAAACTTTCGTTCCCTCACGAAGCGATTGCCGCTAAAAAGTTTATATAATATATCAAATACAGTAAAAAACTGGAATGTGTCACACGTTTTAAGTGCCTCTTCTCTCCTTTCTTATCAGTGAGGGCACTGAGTGCACTACACTGATAAGAATCCACAACACTGATATCCCCTCAGGGGAAGAAGTTGTGTCCTTTGAACGACACGTGTCATCACATTAAGCAATTTCTTTTCCTTGTTTTTTTTTCGAACATGAGTGTTCCTTTTAGCGTGATCGCCAGCGAAAATCTCTCGGCGGCCATGGCAACTGCTTAGCTGGCGATCCTCAAATGCACCAATGGATATAGACTTTGGGTTAATGGCGCGGTCACGTTGGCTTATGGCACCATTTGCAGATGGAAGAGCTGGCGATTTAAATACAATTCGTAAAATTATTTGTGAACTCTATGCCTCGTGCTGCACTATATTAATTCACTCCCATGTTCGCAGGAGCGTTGACAACCGAGCGGCAGCGTTTTCTAACCATGCCAAAAAAGTGCTGCCGAGCTCTATTTATTGCACTTGATAAGTTAGTCAAAATGACAAATTTAGTCCCTCCACAAGCAATCTCTTAATTACCAGAGGATAAGTAGAATACTGCTTATTCAAAGGGCACCTAACTGTTTTACATTACAAAGTACACCTTACGCGCAATTCTTGTGCCAACAAAGGTAGCCCCACAAACATAAAATTAACGCGTGACCGAATATCTAACCAAATATTCAATCGATCATAGTTCTCAAACACGCTGATTTCAAGCAACCATCACGCTTGTTGCGCTGTCAGCCACTAACAGCGTTCTGTATATTAATTGATGAATCTGTAAGACGAGTGTACACAACGAGTTTATTAGCAATTTTTCAATGCAGCCTTAAACCCAATCGTATTCCATATTCATGAACCAATGTTTTAAGCGGCACATTCTATTGGTAAAACGGCTAGATCGTTGGTGTACCACGGGGTGCATTCCTTTGCTTTTCCAGTTGATGATTGCTGTTGCTGAAAATGCGGGGTTGCTTCTCAGCTACTCTCATACGAACACAAAAACGGCACACTAGATTTGGCGGGACGCGACGGGTAAATATCGTGCTCAGTCTGTTTTGTTCATTTTTAATTTCCTCTGGCAGCCTGGCAGATACGGAGTCGTGCTTCAAAGCTTCAGGATTTGGGTCCGACTCCAGACTACGGCGGCCGGATTTTCCTAAGGGTGAGATGTGAAAAGACCAATGTACGTGATTTAAAAGCACGATCAAGAACCACAGGTGTTCTCTATTAACCCAGAAGACGCACTCCCTCCCCTCATATCATGGTGACAGGAACTTGAAATGTTTTCTGGTTGTTGCCCTGAATAGAATCATGGGTGCCAAGCACACTAAGGAATGTGTCATAGCGCATGTGAATGCATTGAATATATTTTTAATACCACTACCTTGAAGCGGCAATTTAAGTTTTGGTATTGAGGAAGCGTTCGATTAATTTATATGTAGGGTTTAACGTCCCAAAAACACCATATGATTATTAGAGACACCCGCAATTGAAGGCTCCGGAAATTTCAACCAAATGGTGTTTTTGAACGTGTTATCAAGAGAGCAGCTTTGCAGTGGCGTGTAAACACGAGTCTGACGTCACTGGACGACTATAACTCGCAACACACCCGCAACAGCTGTCAGTTTGCTGTCTGTCGGACGTGTTTAACGTAGACAAAGATTAATAAATTGTCCTCCAGAGACTCTTGCAGGGATTTCTGTGAATCAGGCTGCATGCAAGACACAGAACCAAATGAACTGTGATGACTTGTCACGATAATGCACATTGAGGTGAAGCTGGCTTACAGAGGCTGGATCAAGAAAATTTTTTAATCAGACTGAAATATGTTACACATGTTTT